GATGTATTTCCTCAGCGACCAGCACGGATCAGCTCCAGGCATGACGAAGCGGATATCGTCCTCTTTTGGAAGGCCAAACAAAGTAGTTTCACTTTCACAATGAAATGCACAGCGCCTACACAACATGGCGGCGGCACGTGACGTAGACGTGGGGGCATGTTAGAACGAGCCATTTTAGGTAGGCGTGTGATTGACTCTTAACTTTTATAAAGAATATCTCTTTGGATTTGAGACTTTAGTCTTTGCAACTTTACAGATCTTCTTTACGCACCAAGAGCTTGTAACACTTCAAAGAGAAAGGAAAAATTGAAATCGCATCATATGACCCCTTTAAGAGAAATATTAATAATCAATTGTTGACATATAGTAATAGTAGAGCTATAGCCTAAATTGAATGTTCATAATGAGATATTTGACTTGTGATCACAGACTGTTATCTTGGCAAATCTGAACATAGTTTGGGAGATTAGTGAGATCTCTTCAGAAACTCCAGAGGATACACATTTGGGACTTTTTCTAAAGGGAAACATTAGCAAGAGACATATACTAAGGTCAAAAGACAAAATGTCCGTTTAATTATATAAAAGTGATTTTTCTTTCATATGGGCATAACCTTCAATACTGCATGTTCATGCTAATCAAATAATTAATATATACATAGAACATAAAAAAACAAACAAACAAACAAACAAACAAGCAAAAAAACAAACAGCTTTTTAAAATTTATTTATTTTATTTCCTTAAGCTGTAATAGCCAGATAAAATGCATGCAGAGGCTTAATAAAGTCTTCCTTGGGGGTCCAGAGGTTGCAGCAGTGATAACACCTGACCCTTCCCCCATACATTTTTACAATTACATGCATGCATAACACTCACAACACACACCTCTCCATTATCACCCCCAGTACTGCTCGTTAACATTTGAATGTTCAGCAGGAAGGCTGAACGACTTCTAAACTACTTGCTACTGGTCTGCCGGTGTCTACTGTATGTGTGAGATTGATGGCAGAGGGGCAGAGGTGGGCACTCCCAGCCTCTTGAGAGCTTTGCAGGGGGTGTAGGGTGAAGGGTTAGCCAGCAGACCTCTGCAGCCCATTTAGTCTCACTGCTCAGCCTGATTTAGTACCGTCCAGCCCCCACAGATGGCACAGAGAGACACACACAGAGAGTCAAGGCTGTGGAAGTGCAACACTTGTGTGACAAATGGAGCCCAGACCAGCATCATGCCACAGACACACTCTTAATCAGGCAGTGTGTGTGTGTGTGTGTGTGTGTGGGTCTGGAGCCTTTGAGTCCGACTGCTTGACACCCAGACTGCATAACTCGCTCTGTCATAATGTCATGCTGAATTCTGTGCGATACTGTTTAGTATAATTTATTTGGACAGTTTCATATTTCCAAGGGAAATGTCCATCAGTACACAAATTAAATACTCCAGATAAATTTGATTTTGAATAAATATTGGTATAGTTCTTTGGCAGAAAGGGCAGTTTTGTTTATGCCTAATCGTGAAAACCTGTACTCCACACTCAATTCCATCATGGGAAATATTTTTTTGTCACGACCTGTTAGTGAAATCGCGTGCATAGAGGGTGTGTTATTTGTGTTGAACATTATGATTCAGCGATTTAATGTTCATCGTTCTGAGAGAGTGAGAGACTCAACCAGGCTCGGACAAGCCCGACCCCTCCTGCTTCTGATACCAACTGCTCTGGCATGTAAACCTTCAAAACACTTCACACAGCTGAACACAATAAACGATCCATAATTACACTCCTCTGCAGACGACGAGTCCTCCATTATTTATTTCTTTGGATAGTCACTTCCTAGAGAGTATTTAGAGAGCAGATGTGATAAAGTATAAATTCATAATTAATTTAAACAGTTTTTGTCTGTGCCATATTTTTGTCTATTCCCTACATTACTGTAAAAAAGATAGATAGATAGATAGATAGATGATAGATAGACAGAGACAGACAGACAAACAGACAGATAGTGAAATATCTGTCTCAGTGGGAGGTCCAATGTTGGCAGCAGTTTTAATCTTACAACATGAATATTGGCCAATAAAAATAAGGATGAGTGTTTTTGTTCTGATTACACATTGATGTAAAGTGTCATGATTCTGGGTCAATGAGCTGTAACTACGGTCAACCATCCTCTGAATGTGTGATGTCCCTGAAGACACAGCCCTGCACACATCCTCCGAACAGTCAGACCCCCTTAAACATTAAACAGTCCTGTTTGTTTCTTCAGTTTCTACTCCATCTACTAACACCATTCTCCTCAGAACTTGTGTTTATATCCCAACAGGAAGCTGCAGATAGGATGTGTATATGGTTTAAGACTATGGCACAAGAATGGGAGATTTTTGTTGACACTTACATTAATTATGAATGTACTGAGCTATCACCGTGGCTCAGATAGACATAATCATATTCATAG